ATAATGTTTACTAAACGGAAGTATAAAATTGACATTAAATCGATTTCATTCAATTTCAATTATAACAAAAATTGATGCAAGATATCTCATTCATAATATCATCTAGATGATATTATGGTAAGAAAATATCTCATTTATAGTTGCAAAAAGATTAAATATCTTTTGATCACGATTGTAAAATTCGTAACAAATCTAGAAAAAAATTCTAGAAAAGATAATTTATACATATAATAAATACGTATTTAACATTATAGAAAATGTTTTAGATTAATTAGAATATACGAATATACACGTTTGTTTTAACTTACTCTTGTTTTTTTGTTAATAAAATAGAGTATAATTTCAGGTAACCAATTGTCCTAGCTACATATAAAATATATTATTGCCTCAACTTTCATCATATAAAGGAGTACCATCTCCACTTAGAGACATACTTCGAGGACTAGAATTTGTAAATGGAGTTCCTCTAGGAGATTTGTAAGATGGAGTACGAACAGATGGTGTTCTATGGCGTGAAGTTGCTCTCTCATTTTGAATTTCTTGATTTCGTGGCGTTTTCCTAGATTCGTCATATTTTGGAGTACTACTATTAAAATTAAAAAAATAATATTTTATTAATATTTAAATATCTAAATATTTATCTTGAATATTTAATTTGAATAACTAAAAATAATTATACTTACAATTCTTTGGAAGTAGATTGCTTTGATCGAGCCCATGCTTCCGCGGCTTTTGACCAATTCGTTGCATTAGAAGAATTAGAAACAGATCTATGTGATCTTGCAGTTCTATGTGAATTTGAGTTCATTGCAGGAGGAATTGGTTGTAAGAATGGTCCTTGAGCATGGCTAGGTGTTTGTGGATGATGAGGTGTATGATGTGGTGTATGATATGGAGTCATAAACGGAGTTTGGCCGGAAGGTGTATATGGTGTACTTCCATAAACACCATAATTACTGACACTAGCAGCACCTGGAGTATATGGTGGATAATGATGTGGAGTATGATTTGCTACTTTTGAGAGAGAATGTAGCATATGATGTGGCATATTTTGTGCTACTCTCTGTATTGCATCTGGATTCACTCCTGAAAAAAATATAAAAATGAATAAATTTCAATATAACAAAAATTATAATGACTTAATATTTTAATAATATTGTGAAATTTACCATTTACTCCAGGAGTAGTACCATTATATGGTGTTCTGGAAGTCATAGCTCCATGTGGAGTACCAGGTGTACTTTGACCTGGTATAGGATCTCTAAAATGTTCCTTAAACCAACGGAATAAATCGTTTAATCTACTGAACATTTGACCTCTAAATCGAAATCCATCAGGTGATACGGTGATATATTCATGACGACAACGAGTTCGTGGTAAATATGAAAGTAAAAATTTTCCAGGATAGTTCTAAAATACAAAACAAAAAATTTGAAAAATGAATTTAATTAAAAATTTTAATAAATATTAAATATTTTCATACATACTTTAGCGGCAGATACAATATATGGTATTCCACCAGGATTTTGCTTTTTCTGTTCCTTTAAAATTTCTTCTGCTTTATCTTTAATACCTTCTATATTTGATTTATAATATTTAAAATCTATTAGTTCCGAAACATAAGCAGACATTGGATTAATATGTCTTGCAATAATTTCATCTAAATCTTCAAATTCTTCATTGCCAATCCACAAACTGCGACCCAAAGAGAATGTATTTTCTTTTCCTTCTTCTCTTATATCGATATGTTGATAAATATTATCTGTAACTTTCCATGTTACAGTCAAATGATCAGCTCCTTTACTACTAGGTCGTATTATTGCTTCTCCTTGTTTCATAGTTTGCATTAATTTTTCAACTTCTGCAAAACCAATATTATAAAAATTGGGATGAATTATAACTCTTTTTACATAAGTTTGTCTTTGTTGCACTTTCTTAGTATCCTCTTCAGTTTTTATATCTTTGTCTTCTGCTTCTGTATCATAATAAACGTCTCGCTGTGGTCTAAAAATAACAATATAAATAAAATATTATTTATAGAAATTATGAAAATTTATAAATAAAATATAATTATTTATTAAAATATTCATAATTACCTCCATTCATGATTTTTATCAACAAGATCGCTAGTTTTACTAGTACATTCAACGCTAAATCGTTCTACTTCGATCTTTATTATACGACAATGAATTACTTGTCCAACACGTACTCTTTCTTCTGGATTAGCGACATGTTTGTCAGATAAATTTTTTACATGAATATAACCAGATATTCCATTATCTAATCTTAAACGAATTCCAGTTGCTTTCCCTGGACATGCACCAGCATCAAAATGATTCCATACTTCAGATAATTCTGGAAAATCATTTTTTAAACAAAATGGACATTGCCACAATCCGGTTTCGTCATTTCGAACAGGATTTGCTTGATCTAATTGTTCTCCTTGTGGTTTTCTATGACTTATACCAACAACTGTAGCCAAAACTAATTTACCAACATAAAAAGTTTCTGGAGTTTCTTTAGTCAAAATATCGAATAATTTTTCAGTATTTGGAGATTGATATGATATACGAAGATCTTTGTATCTACAATTAAGTTCAGCTCTTATATCATAAAGAGTAATGCACTTATTTCCAAAACCCTGTCTTTCAAGTTCTTCTGCAAATGCATCTAAATCTAAATCTTTTAATCTTTCTGGTGATTCAAGAATTTCTTCTAAAGCTCCTGCAGGATTTGCATCTTCATCATCATATTCTAAAGCATCTACTGCCATTTTTCTAGCCCATTCATATGTCTCTGGATGTACACGCGAACCATCTAGAACTTCTACATATGCCTCTGTACTGTCTCCTAAACTATTTGTATCAATTTTAATAAAACCTGCACAGTTGACAAATACTTTAGGTCCCATATGACATGCTGTTATAAGTTGTGTTCTATTTTCTAATCTTTGATTAGTTTGCTTTAAAATCTTAATCAGAGCTTGTCCTTTTCTGGGTCCTAAACCACATACAAATTGTACTAAATTTGCTGTATAAGGCTGTTGAACTGCTCTATTTAAATCTACTCCTACTTCATTTATACGATTTATAAATTCTAAATATAAATTTTCTATAAGATCCTCTTTAGAAAGTTGATCTTGCAAAGAATGATATTTAAGGCACAGAATTTCTTCATCAATTGTACATAATTGAGAGAACTCTAACAAAGGATCTTGTATTCTTCTTGCTAAAGATATAGCTTGTCTTAATAGTTCTGGATAATCTCTAAATTCAGATATACTTCTATTACTATTTGCATAAACTTTAGCAAGTTCATTATCACATATTTCCACTTGAATTGAAGGATATTGTTCTTCCTCTATGAGATTAGATATACATTCTTTTATATCACCTACTATCATTAATGCTTCTCTAGTTTCACCACTTATTACTACAACATGTGGTTTTTTTGTGGCAATAAAATTTTTAATTGCTAATAAATCAGCTTCTTTCAACACTTTTTCGTTATCCCTAAAACTATTTTTACGTTTTAATATATGTGGTAATCTTAAATAATCAGTGCATTCTCCATCTGGAGAAATTATGCAAGTAAAAGCAGCTTGAGATGGATCAGGCACATAAGCTACACCCATCACACGAATTCCTTTACTAGTATTCCATTCTTCATCATCTTCCTCAGGAAATTCACAAGTATATGGAGCAATTTTTATCCAATTATACATTTTACGGCAACAAGCTTTCATAACGCATTCTTTTGCCTCTATTAAAAGATTAGATCGCAATTCTTTTTTCAATTGCGGTATTATAATACGATTTAAAGCTATTTCAACACTACCAGTTCTTAATGTATTCCAATCCTGTACACTTTTACTAAATTCATCTCTATAATATAGTTGCTTTATTTCATCAATATAATTATTGCTAGTATTTCCTTCAATTATATCACTAAAGGAAAATGTAACTAATTTATCTTCTTCTGCTATAATTAGTTTTAAAAATTGATCACCAACAAGATCTCGTACAGGCTTATTTTTAAGATATTTTAATCCATAAATGGCATGAGCCTCATCTATCTCTTTTATTCCTTTTTTAGTTGGTTTTATAGATAATTTTGCTCTCTCCATATACATTTCTCTAACACATTTGCGTACTAATGGTTCATGCGCTAATTGAATTGCAACCATTAATTGTGCAGCTTTAAGTACTTCTTCATTTGTATTAAAAATTGCTGAACAAAAATCATTTGCTACTATTGCAGGTTCTGTTGGATCTTGATCTACTTCATGACGTTGATAATTATCTCGAAGATTTTCAGCAAAATGTTCTGGAGAGAGACCAAATCTTTTAGCAAGTCCATCTAAACCAGCCTTTTTACAAATATAATAAGGACCTTTCCTAATTGGCTTTTTTAATGATTCGTCTATTTCTTCTTCTTCATCATCTATATCTGCAATTTCTTCAGGAAGATCTTCTCCATTTTCCTCAGCTTCTTCGATTTGTTGTTTTCTTTTCTCCAATTTAGCTTTTTTTTGTGCTTCTTTCTCTTTTTTGCGTACATCTTCTTGCATAACTGATACATCCTCATTATAATATAACATAAAATGTCGATAAATATCATTCAGTTCTTCAAAAGTCTGAACATTTTTAAGTCGTTCAATATCATCATCTTTAATAATTCGTATGTTATCAGATAACGGAGCATCTGGATTTTTCATAATCTCATCTAATTGAAAATTTCTCATTTTTTCAAACAATTTCAATAAATTTTCCTTTCTTTGTTTAAGTTGACACCATTTCATATCAAACTTATAAATTTTCCACAAATCATTAATATTTAACTCTGGTAAAACATATTCTTTTCTATAAAATGATATAAATGGAACTTCAAAGTTTTGATTACGCATGAAATCTAAAGCTTTTTTAATTTTGTTAACTGTTTGAGGACCTTTTCTAGCTCTTTCTTTGGCTTCTTCATTAAGATGAGCATCTTGTATTGAAATCGTCGGTTGACAGAATGCCTGTTTGTATATCCATTCTGCTTCAAGATCTAATTCATCTGAACCTTCTACAGTTGATGTAATAGGAACAGCGCGAAGTTGCATACGTTCAGGAATGTCTGTTGTACGAATCTAAAGTACATATATTAAGATAGCTTAAATATTATTTATAAATATTGATGATAAATTAGTGTTATTTTTAATAATTACCTCATTGTCTATATCAGTAAAATGGCCACGTATAAGTTCGCTAGGTTCATATACCTCAAAGATACTTTTTTTTGTGCTCTTTTTTTTAAGATGTTGTTTTGACCGTCTTGGTCGATCTTCTATCTCATCATGAATATAATCATCTTCTTCTTCATCTTCATCATCTTCAAATTCATCTTCTCCATATTTTCCAAATTCATCATAATCAAAATCTATACCAAAAATATCTTGAGCTTCTTGTAAAGCACTGTAATAAGTATATAAATAATTAACATATGTTATCATAACATATCATAACATATTATGTTCTATATTATATTTATAATGCAAAAAATTCTTACGCATCAGAAAAAATAGGTTTTTTCTTCTTTCTTTTCTCAGCTATAGGTACTCCATCACCATCCACAATGAAATCATCCTCATCTTCACTTTCTTCCTCATCAAATCCTTCCACTTCACCTCTGTGACTAACTTCACTTCTTTCTTCATCTTCCTATAAGAATAATAAATGATTATTTAATTTCTTTTACAATATATAACAATATATACATTTTTTTACAATATAATTATTAAACCAATCACACATAAATCTTATTTTAAAAGTTACCTCTCCAGAGCCTTGAAATAATTCATTTGCAATGGCATCTCTTTCATCATCTACTTCTCTTTCTTCTTCTCCCTCTGATTCTTCATCTTGTATTCTTCGCAAACGTTTAAAACGACGTTTCTAAAAAATAAAATCATAATAAAAAATTATGAAATTATATAAAATATTTTATATTTTTTTTGCAATAGTATATACCCTTTCAACTTTAACTCCTAAATTTTCTTCAAGTAGATCATAATCTTCATCTTCTAAACGATCATCAAAATCTTCATCATCACTTTTTTTACGTTTTCTAGAATAATCAGATCCATCACTATCTTCACCATCATTATCATCATCTTCAATTGGATTATCATCAATAAGCCCTGGAACTTCTCCTTCATCTTCTATTCATATTAAAGATAAATAAAATTTAAATAAAAATGATTTTAAATGATAATAATTATTTAATATATTAATAATATTATGAGTATCCGATACGAGTATTCGGGTCAGATTAGGCAGAATGAAAGTTTGAAAGTTTTACATAGTCTCGAATTGTATTTTAAATTTTGAAATTACGGATACTTATATGCCAGAAAACTTTTGGAATTCCGTCCAAAATAAAAAAAAAATTCTCCGAACAACAATCCGAATCCGAACTACAATTTCGAGCATCCGTACATCCCTAGTTTAAATATTAATATTGTATAAATTACTATAGTTTTTTAAATATCGTTTTTTCTAGAACTTTCAAACAGATATTTTAGCAAATATAATATATTTAAATATATTTAATTAGAGGTAGTATATAAATGCATTTTTGTACGAATTACCTTCATCGTCATCTTCATCATCACTATCTTGCATAGCTTTTAATTTTTTAAGTTTTTTTCTTTCATTAACATCGAGTTCCTCCTCCTCCTACAATATCACATTATTAGGTTATGTAAAATTAAATGTCGTTATTTTATATTTTATTACCCACCTCACTTTCTTCTGCTTCAGCATCTAAATAATCTGCCATTTTGTAATAAAAATATGAAACTTTCTAAAAGTAATATATAAAAAAATTATTAATAAAACAAAATAACGGAACAACTCTACTTGCAACAAGAAGTAATTGCAATTTAAGGTTGCCGAAGAATTTTCTACACTAATTTATACGTGACGTCACTGAAGTAAGACAAAGTACTACTTATTGCCGAACAATATTGCTACGTTAACATCAGTGAAGTATGGAATAGAAAGGGAACTATTAAAATTGGTGGGAGAATCCGTTGCTTGGCAACAAGACGCTATCTGATCTGATGATGCGACGCCATCTACTTGATGATACAATATACTATGTAGTAGTACGAAATATGGGAAGATAGTGTCGCATCATCGCGTTTTGTTGCTAAGCAACGCATCTTCTTACCAATCCTCCCAACTAGTCTTTTTCATATATATTGCTCCATATCTCGATGACGTCATATGTAGATTTCCATAGAGAGTTCTAAGCGGCAAGTTTAGTCGTGACATCTATAATTATACAACTGTTTAATATCTATATAAAGGTTCGTTTTCAAAGGAATACTTTCGTGTCCAATCAGCTGATATATAAACAAAATTGGTTAAATTTGTTCTTTTTTATTTAATTCTAATCATATAACAGGAAGTAAATTGATTTCCGTAGTATTTTTCTATCTGATTCATTATTTGTATGTGCTTAAGTGGTTCAAAGTCCTTCAATAGCGTGATGATGCACATAGAAATGAAAAAGGAAAACATGGCGAAACAACGTGTGAAATGATTAAAATATAAATTTAAAACGAATAATTATTTGATCGGAATGACAACTAACGAAGAATCTGTAGATGACAGTCTCTTAGAGAGATTCATCAAAAGTGACGAAAATAAGGTTGTGAATTGTCGAAGTAGTATAGACAATATTGAAGGGCACAAATTACGACATGGAACGGACAGTTTTCCAAATATTAATGAAAGACCGGTTGATGATATTTCCATCGAATTTTTTTATAAACCACATAGCATTACACTTCTTCTCATTTCAATCGGTGCTGTAATATATTCCGCATTCACTAGGTAATTAAATTTTATTTAAATTTTTTTATTATATAATTTTAAACTTTCTGTAAATATCGATATTGATTCAATACAGGAATACTACTAATGTTGAGGACAATATTTGGGCTGGAATATTATGTATTATATTTTTCTTTCTGATTATATCTATACTTACATTTCCAAATGGACCATTTACGAGACCTCATCCTGTTGTATGGAAACTTGTATTTGGTTGTAGTGTATTATATCTAATGGGTCTATTATTTATGCTATTTCAAGATTATGAAACAGTTAGAAAAATCTTTGTTTGGATAGATCCTAGTTTGGCATCGTTTCATATTGATATGGATAAAGAATATGGTGTTAATTGTTCAGAAATTACAATTGAGAAAATATGGAACCATTTAGATGTTTTTGCATTAGCTCACTTCTTAGGATGGACTTTTAAAGCAATTCTTATTCGTCATCTTGGTATTCTTTGGGCTATTAGTATTATGTGGGAAGTAACAGAAATAGCATTTGCTCATTTATTACCAAATTTTGTGGAATGTTGGTGGGATGCTTTTATACTTGATGTTGTTGTCTGTAATGGTTTGGGTATTTGGGTTGGATTAAAAATTTGCTCTCTCTTAGAAATGAGAGAATATAAATGGGTAAGCATTCTTGACATTGAGAGCACTACTGGAAAATTAAAGAGAGCAATGCTACAATTTACTCCTGGTAGTTGGACTGCTGTTAGATGGTTGGATCCAACATGTACATATATGAGATTCGTTGCTCTGTGTCAGTTGGTTATATTCTGGCAAGTTTCAGAGCTCAATACATTTTTTTTGAAACATGTATATGAATTTCCACCCTCTCATCCATTTGTTGTGGCAAGATTGGTATTAATTGGAGTAATAGTTGCACCTTCTGTTAGGTATGCAAAATAAGATAAATTTATATTAAATATGTATTGCAAATGTATTATAGCAATTATAATAATTTCTTACACAAGTAGTATAATATTTTAACATAATTATAGGCAATACTACATGTATGTAACAGATCCAACATGTAGTAGAGTAGGGACTCAATGTTGGGTTTATGGTGCAATTATGGTTACAGAAGCATTACTATGTATAAGGCATGGTGCTGCATTATTTGAACGTACTCAAGCATTAAATATTCTTCTATGGCTACTTTGCCAATCTCTAGTCTCAGTTCTTTGTGTTTATGGCTGTGTTTTATGGCATCGGTACTTTGAGGTATGTGCTTATTTCTTTAAAATGAAACTGGAAATTATTCATTTTGTAACTAACTGTATGGTTATGTTTTTTTTTTATTATTTTTATATGTCTTTTTTTAATGCCTTTTGCATGGCTCTCATCTTTTCAGACAGAAAAGAAAGCTACTTCAAAACAATGTATTACTCAACTAGACAACAGTCATCTGGATGTAACCCTTAGCAGTGGTATGTTATGGTCGATGTTTATTATATTTTTTTGAGGTGTAAATAATGATTAAGCCAATAGTGCACTGGGCTATTGATTTATAATTAACTAAATACTAAATATAAAACAAGAGTGCTACATTTGCAATCTGTTACATAACTGACATGAATAATATAAAACTAAATAAATTGTGTTATGAATGCTTTTCTACTACTATTGAAAAATATGAATTATGTGTATTTATTATAAAAATATATAAATATTTTATCATACAGCTCAGTTCATCATTGGTAAATTGAATACTAATAAATATTTTTAGGAATTGATCTGTATTCTAGGAGACATGATTCATTCTACAAAATCTATGGATTTATTGGAAAAAAAGCAATTATAAACAATTATGAGCAAGGAATATTTAACTAAAGGGTGAATTATTTATATTATTAAATTTTCTAGTCACATTATATCATCGTACAATAGAAGTTTTGGATGTAATGGATTTAATGAATACATGAGTTTGTCTGGTTTTTGAATACTGCGCTCGTTTGCGCGTGAATGTTATGAAAAAAATGTTCCTGAGAATAAATGAAAAGCGTTGTTACCACTTAACTCACAGTTTTTTATAAAAAAATATTTGTTATATTATTTACGCATTTTAATTGCGTAGTTACATTACATTATTCTGCTGTATCGCATAAATATGGAAATACTTTGCATTCAATATATGGAATATTTGGCATTATTCGTGAACCTTGCGGACAATTCCAAGCTTTGCCGAGAAGCATATTATTTGATGCAGAGACAAAAATACGAATCCGATTTGGTAACTGTTCATTCTCATACAATGATATATACGATGACGTAAGTGGTGACTTCGTACAGTACATCTATAAAAATCATTTATGAAAGTTCTTACTTACGATTGTCATAATGTTTGTAATTTTATTTAAAATATCAATGCCATAAATTTTACTGTAACGAAAGTACCTGAGCATAGGTGAGATAGAATAACTGATTGAAATCAAGTTCTAACCATGGAAGATAATCTTTTTTAGATCTCAATCGAGCCAAAGTATCGTAGGCTAATCTTAGTCCCGTTATCTCGGACAGACGTTCATTTAGAGTCAATTGCGAAATCTAAAACATTTTTTAATAAAAAAGATTTATTAAGTTTGTAAAAACGTATTTGATTAAATATTTTATTTTAAAATAATATTTTTACATCGCAACGATTTTATAAAAAAAAAAAAATGTATCAATTTACCTCATAATTCACGTTTTGTCCAGTAAATGATAATGTCATACTCATATAATTTTGATCATTTCGGTGATAGTTAATATATTCATTAAAATTATATTTAGATTTATCATCGTTTAACAAACTGTTCTTGGCATTGCGAGTTCCATTCCAATAATAAATACCTAATGATATATAAATATGTATATCATTGAACATTTGGACGATAAGATATTTTTGAATTTTCTTATAAATCTATTGTTATAATTCTAGAACATTAAATATTATAATAATATAAAATTACATATTATTAATATACCATTTGCATCAAAGTGATGAGCAATTTGGTGTGCAATTATGTTACCAATTATCGCCATTTTTATGTAATCAAATGAAAATTTATTATATTCATTATAATTCATGGACCAATCGATTATACCAAATGGTATCACAATGAGATTTAATCCATAAATCGCGATTCCTTTAGATTGGTACGGTTTTGCATAATGCGTCCATCTACATTAATTCATATAATTTAATAATGTAAAGATATTTTCTATATCTCTTTTTAATTATAAAAACTTACATTTGTTCAAGATCTCCTGGATTTGTAGAAACTTGTGCATAGATTAATTTTCGATATCTTTGCATTAAAATTATTGAATTTTCTAAGTAATTATTTGATAAATTTACCTAGAATTGGACCTATCATTAAATATCATTCAATAAAAACAATTTAATTAATAATATTTAAATTTTTTTTTATTATTAATATCATATTTTTAAAAACGAAATTGATTTTTTATACCTTGTTTGCTTGATATCTTACATAAATTGATTTATTATTATTAAAATAAGAAATATCGGGTAGGACAATTTTAAGATTATTTATTTTTGTTATTAATGCGACACGATCTTTTTGTGTAACCCATTTTTGGTTTTTAATGTTTAATTTTAGAGTCTCCTTAAGTTTCTCAAATATACTATGTATCTATTAAATTTTATATAAGGATTAGTCATCTTATGATTATCTTCATTATTAATCATTATATGAAATGAATGCTTACAGTTTCATTTATGTAAATAAGTTCATCTTTCGAAAACGAAGAAATATATAACTTCGAAGCTTCCGGGATTAAAATATTAGTAGCTACGCGAAGGCAGTATTTTTTAATATCTACATTTTTAACATGTTTTGATAAAACTAACTAAAAGAAAAAAATAAATGTTAAAAGTTATTAAAAACTTTAATTGAAGAAAGAAAATTGAAACATTAATCAGAAAAAATAAATAAAAGTTTTCATAGTCTGATGCGAAATATTCCTTCCAATAGCAAAAAAATTTGCACTTCGGTCAAAATATTATTAAATTATTAAAATCGTTATTGCTACAATGGGATATAATATCTAGTAATAATAATAATATAATATAAAATAATAATATTAATCATGAGATATTTTAAGATCATTAAAAAATATGATCCATTATAATAATTTTTAATTTTTAATTTTTAATTTTTTTC